ACGCAGACTGCCAACGGGACCGTCTTGGGACATAGGCACCTCTTTTAAACTGATTGGCTGTTGCTGTTGCTAGGGGAGTAACTAAGGGCAGGCTGAGGCTGCCTAAGTACTTCCTGCGGTTTTCCCTGGGACTGGGTTTCGGGGGTAATTCACCTTCAAGATGGAGGCTTTTTCTAAAATGGAGTCAGTTAGATTTAGGTCTCACATTAGTATATGACATAGATTATTGACAGATGTTGCTCTTTAAAATAAATCAGTGAGAACTTAAAATTTCATAACAAGTTTTTCATTACAATTGCTATTTATAGAAAATGACATACTACAGAGAAGCAAAAAGAAGAAATTAAAAAGCACTCATATCTTAGGATGTAAAGATTTTCAGTATCAATAATATTTCTCACTAGAATTTTTCCCCTATTAAATTTCTTCGGGAATTTTTTTTATGTGCACAAGCACATATAATTATATGTATGTATGTGTATAAATATGTATATATAGTTGTATAAAAATGGTATAAAATCCACATGTATTTCTTTATTGATTGATTATTTCATTAATAATGGATTTTGCAGGGGCACCTGGGTAGCTTAGTTGGTTGAGCGACCAGGTTCATTAGTTCAAGCCCCACATCAGGCTCTGCAATGACAGTGCAGAGCCTGCTTGGATTCCTTCTCTCTCTCCCTTCTCTCTGTTCCCTCCCCCGATTGCATGCGCACTCCCTATTTGAGCGTGTGCAAGCTCGCTCTCTCTCTCAAAATAAATGAGTAAACTTTTAAAATTTTTAAATAAATAAAGTAAAATAATGGATTATGCACTTTGGCCAATACTCTTAAGTATTCCTCTTCAGGAGGTACATCTTATTCTATTATATCATATTCGGTTATCCTTTTAACATGAAACTTTTAGTTTTTAAGTTTTAATTTTTTCTCATAACTGGCAAGGTGATGGGTAACTCAATAAATAGCTGAATAATTTCCATTTATAGTTTTATTTCCTTATGATTAAATTCAAGAAGCAGCATAGTAGTTTTCAGTAACAATTAAGAAAAATGAAAGTATGAAAAGCACAGAGTATAGTAATAAGCACATAGTAAGTTGCCAATAAATGTTAAGGATAGTAGATTTATAGGAGGGGAGGGAGAGAGATTTTATTTGAAATAGGCTTGCTAATTACCCCAAATATAATCTATTAAGAGTGTTTAGCAGTTCTTATTTCAAACCAGTTTAGTCAGTTTATAGGTGTCAGGTTTAGTATGTGTTTCTATGAAAATGTCTGTTTCTCCAACTAACAAAAATCATCAAGAATAAACCAAAGCAAGATAATTGACATATACTTGGCAGGGGGGAGGGCAGAATGGTTGGGTATTAACTTTTTCTTTTTTTCCTTTGTTGTGGATTCTACCTGCTGCTAGTGTGACAGGAATATACCCTATAGCCCATTTCCTCTCACACTGGGTTTGAATGCCCAGTCTGGAGCCCTTTTGGCAGAGCTGTCCCACAAGTACCGAAAATAGAAATATACAGATGGCATGCTATCCATGAAAGGACAATATTGACCTGAAAAATCTGTTCTCATTCACAGGCTGAAGTGCTGTTATGAAGGAGGGATGGGTAAAAGTGCCCATTTCCCACATGGTCATTCAATACGCCCCCTAGGTGATGTCTGTCTTGAATATATTGATGGATAAACCACATGGCAGTGCCAGGGAGAATAAATGGTAGACTCAAGAGAAACTTGAGGAATCTGAGAAAATGTAACACAGTGAAATAGGCTGGGTGAGAACTGGTGAACTGGAGAGTATATGGTCCCCTGTGTAGCCTAGGGTGGCAGCTCCTCCAGCCAGTGGTGGCCATGTGAGAAGGCAGGCTCAGATTTCCCAGGGCTTGCGGCTTTACAAGAAACTGAAAACCTGGAATTTTTATTCAAATCTTTCAGTTTTCAGATGTGTTTGGGAAAAAGTAGGAATAAATTTTTAAAAAGTGTGTGTGTGTGTGTATGTGTGTGTGTTTATATATATGTGTGTGTGTGTGTACATACTACTTTATTAAAATGGGTCTCCAGCTTGCTAACTGCAGGTCTTGAAACTTCTCTGCCTCCATAGTTGCTAAAGCCAGTTCTTTAAAATTAATGAGTGTGTGTGTATGTGTGTGTGCGCAAACACACACATACACACGCACGCATTCTGTTAGTTCTGTTTCCCTGGAGAACACTGACTGATAAAGTTACACACCTACAGTTATATGGAAAAGAGGAAACATGGTGGAAAGGCAAGGAAAGATGCCAGACTTTTTTGAATAAATCCTGTTTTATAGATTTGACTTTAGTGCTATCTAAACAGTTCACAAAACTATAACACAAAATTGAACCTTAAAACAGTCATGAAAAATTGAGAGGTGGTGGGGAAGGAAACAATTAAACCTGACTAGATCGCAAGTTGGTGGCATAACCTAACCCTACAGAATGTAATAATTTCAAGTGGTTTTCAAATCCAGTCATTTGACTGTACCTGCCTACTAGGATGTGCTCTAAAGCTTTTTTAAGACAAATTTTAAATTGTCTTGCTTACTCGTAATGTTAATATAGTAGTGGCTCTATGTATTGTGGGCTAAATCAAATGAGTAATCATTTTGGTATTATTCAGAACACAGATTTTGGTATGGAAGAAAGGTGATAACATTGTCAGAAGCATGAGATTAAATGGAAACATTCAAGTCCTAAATTTGAACCGAAGTTTAATGGGAATTCATGTGTTTAAAAAACACACAGAGAACTTATTTTATAGCTCTGTTCACAGAAGCAAGGGTTGATCCACTAGCTGTGCACCCAAAGCTCTCAGTGTGTTGTCTCTAACTTCTACTTACCATGAAAAGCTGTCACAAGACTTCTTACTAGAAATAGTGTTTCCAGATCTGGGACAGGATGTCCTGGGAAATAGCCCTAGATCATTTTGTCATTCCAGAAGCAAAAGGGCCATCAGAGTCCTGGGTCATCTTAAAAGGACTTAGAGGCCAACTTGAAAAGTTTCCCAGTGAGCAAGGGTAGCACAGTTAGACCTTCAATAGCAATAAAAACTGCACTGGAATGAAACAAATTAAAATACCCATAATGATACTTAGAAAAAGAAGTAAGAAACATTAATTAGTTATCTCTGGAGGCTTCTCGGTGACCAGTATTTTTTGGACCAATAAATAAAGGAGGAAAAATCAAGCCCCTCTCAGGTTTTTGTAAACTAAAATTTAGGGTAACTGTTGATGAAATGTACTTTTTCTTGCTGGAATATCCCAGCTAATAAATTAAGAAACAATGAATTATTTTATCACCAATTTGAAATCTCTAGTGAATTAATAGATCCTCTAGGCAAAGATCACCAGTAGCTGATGACATCACAGCAGAAGACATTGTATGCCTCCTGACAGAGCACATAGTGGACAGAAAAATGCCCTCCAGCTTAAAGATGTGATTGTCCCAATCTCCAAACCCCTGAATATGTCACATTGCATGGCAAAGGAGAATTAACATTATAGATAGAATTATGGTTGCTAAGCAGATGAATTTAAAATAAAGAGATTGTCCTGAATTATCTAGGTGTGCTCAACGAAATTACCAGGGTCTTTAAAAGTGGAAGAGGGAGGTGGAAGATTCATTGTCAGAGTGATTAGATATGAGGCAGATTCGTCTAGTCACTACAGACTTTGAAGATGAAAGAGGCCACGAGCCCAGGAATGTGGGCAGCGTCAAGTACCTAGAAACAGTCAAGAACTGGATTCTCCCTTAAAGCCTCCAGGGAGGAGTGCAACAGGCTTGCTGGTACCTTGATTTTCACCCTTTGAGTCCTGGGTCAGACATATACACAATTGTAAGATCATATATCTGTGTTGTGTTAAGCCACTGAGTTCATGGTTATTTATGTTGGTAGCAGTAGAATACTAATATATTCTATTTCTTAGAACGTGTTCTTCTATAAACCTGAACTTGAATCTTCTCAAGCCTCTTGATCTAACTACCAATACAGGTAATATAGGGGACGGAAGAACACAGTATATGAAATTATGGAAATGCTCAACAAAATGTAAACTCTAGGCAATGCTATTCCAAAATGATATGGTTTGTTTATCAAATAAAGTATGGGTATGGATATGGATGTGAATGAAACTGACTGACTTAGGAGACTTTTAGGAGATGACCTAGCATTTCATGTATCAACCAACTATAGCAGGCATCTTGATCCAAATAAGCAAATCTAAGGAGAGAAAATTAAAATGAATCAAATTTAAACATTGACACTGGGCATTAGATGAGATTAATGATTTTATTTATTTATTTTTTGGTGTGATGGTGGTAGTGATGGTATTATGGTTATATTTAGCCAAATGAGATGGGTGTGGTGGGTAAAGTAAATAATAATAGCCGTAAACGGATCATTGTTGAAGGCAAATGACTGGTACATGTGTACCATTTATACTTTCTATTTTTGTATATATTTTAATATTTCCATAATAAAATATTGGTGAAAGTGTTAGTAACTAATTTGACTTCTTAAATATTCTGGGAACAAAAAATACCGTGTCCAAAAACTGGATTTGACCATCAGACTGCCAGTTAACAATTTCTGCATAAAGTTTTGGAAACTGGACCTTTTACTTTAACCTGGGGAATTATCTTTTTCTCCTTTCCTACTCACCTCCTGGCTCCATTATTGCTGCAATTCCTAGCAAAAGGACTTCCTTCATCTGTGCTAGCGAATGACTAGGGGGCATTACAGATTGCTTGGAATAGAATTTTCTCAGAATAAGTGACCAAAGAGGGTAATATGCATAATTGCATTGAATAATACTTCCTAGTATTTTATTGGACCTCATTTCATTCCACTCTCTCTTAAAAAAAAAAAAAAAAAGGCAATAACTTTGTTTCAGGTTTTGAAAGCCTCGTTTTTTTGTGTTTTTTTTTTTTAAATATTGGCTAATTGCATTTTCTATGTTATCTCTGTGCTTCTATTTCAGGATGGAATGGGGAACTTGAGAATCACAGACAAAGGTCTAAAACTAGAAGGAGACTCTGAATTCTTGCAACCTCTCTACGCCAAAGAAATCCAGTCCCGACCAGTAAGTTTCTGCTCAAGAAAAAGGAATGGTTGTTTTTCTGGAGTCTAAGTCTGGGGAAGTTTATCATCAGCCATCAGCAGAGCATAGAGGATTACAGGAGGGAATGGTAATGTAGGTAGTGAGATATACTCACATCTGAAGTCCTCAGCTTATGTAATCACTGCTGTGGTACCATAAACGGTTATGATGACCTCTCTGAGCTTTTCTCTGTTCCTGCCAAGAAGAGGATAATAACCTCTGTTAATGAACTTTTCTATAATTCTGCTGCAAATAAGCCAAGAAAATAAATGTGGATGTGCTCTAAGTACTATACAAATCCTTAAAATATTGCTATCATTTTTTAATTGCCAAGTGCTTTAAATGCTTTCTTTGGAAATACAGAACTAAAGAACTAGAATTTTGTTTTTCCTTAAGAATTTGGACAAGATAGCCAAGGTTGGTTAGAATCAATTCAATATATCAACAACTATGCTCTGAAATGGTTTTCATTACTCTAGATTCTACGCTCTTCCATGCTCTTTGCTGCCTTGCATGCCTTACCATTACCTAATTTAATCCGCAGATTGGTCCTCAGGGTTGGCAATTATTGTTCCCTCAATTTTACAGATTAAAGAATTGAGCCTTAGGGAGGTGCTGTGTTCAAAGCCACATACTTATGAAGTAGTAGAGCAAGGACGTCAATGCAGGAAATCGAATTCCAAAACTTTTCAGTTAACCAGAGCCTCCTACTCAAGCTTTTTTTCTCATTCCTTTTGTCATGATAGAAGTGATCTCTAGACAGTTTGCTTTTATTAACCAGTACTTTCAGAATTAATTTTTGTTTTTGAGGTTTTTCTTCAGTCTTTGTTTCTTCATTCTTTTTTTTTTTTTTTTTTTATTTTTTTTTTTTTTTTTTTTTTATTTGTTTTTTGATAAGTGTTGCTAATGCATTTTTTCTTCTGGGATTGCTTCATGTCCACCTGCGAGTGNGCTTTTTTTCTCATTCCTTTTGTCATGATAGAAGTGATCTCTAGACAGTTTGCTTTTATTAACCAGTACTTTCAGAATTAATTTTTGTTTTTGAGGTTTTTCTTCAGTCTTTGTTTTTTTTTTTTTTTTTTTTTTTTTTTTTTTTTTTTTTGGTGGGGTTGGTGGAATTTGCTGTCTGAAAAGAGTTGCTAATGCATTTGCTCTTCTGGGATTGCTTCATGTCCACCTGCGAGTGGAATAATGGGAAAGTTCCCCAAAGTGTTATTTGCATAGTGTGCATTGATGGGCATAATTAATGAAATTCAGTGACTTTATGCAGTGGGTGCTTTTATCTGAATGCTATCTAAACTACAGAATTCTATTAAACTGGATGCAACTACCTAAGTGCCAATAAGTTTACGTCCCTGTGTGCCTAGTAAAAGAGTGGGAGCCATGATGTTAAAATTATCAAAAAGAGTAAAGCAGATCAGCCACCCAATCATTGATTATAAGTTTAACTGGAACTCATAGCACACTGGGTTAGCACTAAGTATGAAGAGTACTATAAATGTATCTACCATCTTTGAAGAAATTAGATCCTAGAAAGAATCAGAGATAAGGTTATAATAAGGAGGGTTGAGTGATGATTCTGTGTTGAACTGAATGGACACAGTGAATTTTCAGCATCTAAGAAATCACTCTTAGAAGAATTGCTTCGATCTGTATTTATTTCTCCCAGCCTGGGAAGTTGGTTAGTTAAATTATCTTTTGAGTTATTAGTTGTACTTTAGATTAATCTTATCTGTATTAAACTTTTTTGAGTATTGTCGACACAATGTTCTATTAGTTTCAGGTGTACAACATAGTGATTTAACAAGTTTATACATTATCCCATGTTCACTACAAGTATAACTACTGTCTGATACCATACAACATTATTATAATGTCACTGACAATATTGTTTATGCCGTGGCTTTCATTCCTGTGTTTTATTCATTCCGTAACTGGAAACCTCTATCTCCCAATCCGTTTCACACATTTTGCCCATCCCAACTCACCTGCTTTCTGGCAAACAGAGTTTTTCTCTGTACTTATGGGTCTTATTTGGGTTTTTTTTGTTGTTGTTGTTAGTTTGTTTAATCATTTGTTTTTTTCAGGTTTCACATGTGAGTGAAATCATATGGTATTTGTCTTTCTCATCTGACTTAACGTCACTAAGCAGAATATCCTCTAAGTCCATCTATGTTGTTGCAAATGGCATGATCTCATTCTTTTGATGGCTGCATAATATTTTATTGTGTGTGTCTATTTGGACACACACACACATGCACCACATCTTCTCATTCTAGATTAAACTTTTTAACTCACTAGTTTTGACTTATAACTTCCTTCTCCTGGTGTCAAACCGTTTTTCTGTAAAGAGCCAGATAGTAAGTATTTTAGACTTCTATTTTTTTCTTTTTTACAACTCTTTAAAAATGTAAACAATGTTCTTAACTTGAGGGCTACCAAAAAATAGCCTGTAAGCTATAGCTTGCCAAGCCTTCTAACATATATTAGTGATATTTCTATAAATATATAAATGGTCTGGCTTAGCAACATGTGGTACGAGAGAGCAGAGTTTTTTTAATTTTTTTAATGTTTTATATTATTTTTTGAGAGACAAAGACGTAGCATGGGCAGGGAAGAGGCAGAGAGAAAGAGGAAGATACAGAATCCAAAGCAGGCTCCAAGCTCTGGGCTGTCATCACAGAGTCTGATGCGGGGCTCAAATTCACAAACTGAGAGATCATGACCTGAGCCAAATTTAGATGCTCAACCAACTGAGCCACCCAGGATCCTCAAGAGAGCAGATTTTAAGATCATGGGTAGAATAATTGATTTTTTACATGAAATATCCTGACATAAGTTTCCTTGATGTAGAATTAGAATCATATGAAGGAATTGTGAAGTATGTTTCAGAAGACTTGGAAGGGGTACAGGTACATCTCTTAGACCCATGTGCAGGAATTGAACTTTTTGCAAACATGCAGCCAGCATATCTGGAAATCAATGGCCCTATGATCCCAACTCAAAGATACAATTTACTGAAAGCTTAAAAATTAATGATAATTTCAAAAGTCTTATTTTAATATTGAAAAATCAGTGAAATTCCATGCTTTCACGTCACCAGTTAAGGAGAATAAAGTGTCAGAATTGACTATCTTTCACTGTTCTTAAGAAAGTATTCTCCTGGGGCACCTGGGTGGCTCAGTGAGTTAAGCGTCCGACTTCAGCTCAGGTCATGATCTCACGGTTCGTGGGTTCGAGCCCTGCAGTAGGCTCTGTGCTAACAGCCAGCTCAGAGCCTGGAGGCTGTTTCAAATTCTGTGTTTGACCCTCCCCTGCTCACGCTGTCTCCCTCCCTCTCTCAGAAATAAATAAAACATTAAAAAAAAAAAAAAAAAGAAAGTATTCTCCTTTCAAAATGTAAATAGTAAGTAAAACTCTTTAGCTTTTATGTTTCTAACAACAGAATAAAGAGCTTCTCACTGAAGAAAAGAAAGACCCACTGATATGCATGTGTAATAAAATCTGTCCGTGAATACGTGAGCTCTTGCTGAAACAGTGCCCACATCCATCCACTCTTCTCCCTCACACACTACCTGCCGTTTCCAACCACCATCCTGTCCTCCCTCACCTACAGCTTCACAAATAGCTGCCGCTCTGTGCTGCCCCTCTCTCTCAGCCTCACATCTACATTGTAGCCAAAATGGGCTTTTCAAAATGTCAAGTCTCTCCACCTCTTTGCAAAGGATTCTCCAACAAGTTGCCATTGCCTCTGGAATAAACTCCTGATTCCTCGCGAAGGCCTAGAAAATTCTCTCCTACATGTTTTTCACAGAAGGTTCCTTCTGGCCATCCTAGTCACAGTTCACATGTTGCCATTTTAGAAAGACCTTCCTAGTTTAGTATAATGTCATATGTAAAACATCACCCTGTTTCTGTGTGTGTGTGTGTGTGTGTGTGTGTTTACCCCTTGTAACTGTCACCATTTGACATTCTTGCTTAAGAATATAAACTTGGAAGAGCAGGAAATCGTGCAGATTTTCCCCTCTATATTCCCTAACCCTGTTGCTACTACCAGCACATAACATATGCTCAGTAGATATTTGTAATATTGAATAATAAATCATTAAAAATAATCACTTAAATCTATCTTGTGGAGGAAGTACTCTTAACAGTTTTGCATACTGAGGTGCCTGGGTGACTTAATTAGTTAAGTGCCTGACTTCAGTTCAGGTCATGATCTCACAGTTTCTGGGTTCAAGTCCCCCATCGGGCTCCTCACCGAAGGTGCAGAGCCTGCTTGGGATTCCCTCTCTCTCCCGCTCTCTCTGCACTCTGCCCCACCCCCCCTCATTTGTGCTTTCTGTCTCTCTCAAAAATAAGTGAATAAACATTTTCTTTAAAAACATCAGTTTAGGGTACATTTTTAGGCATTTCCTACAAGTATATTTTTAATTACAACCATACTTTGCATACTCTTTTTTACCCTTTTTCCCTCCAAATATATCAACACTAAATTTTCTGTATCTAAATAATTCTTAATAGTTCAAGAGCTTTTTGAGGCATAATTGATATAGAATAAACCACACCTATTTAAATTGTGTACGTTGAAGTGTTTTTACATGTACACCTGAAGCCTTCACCACAATGAAGATAATAAATATATCATCACTAAGAGTTTCTCCCATACCCCTTTCTAATCCCTCAACCAACCACTAATATGCTTTCTGTCCCGCACATTACTTTCCATTTCTTAGAACTTCACTTAAATGGAATCATACAATTTGTGTATCTGAATGATTTTAAGGATACATCCTCCACATAACTTTATCAAGATCTTTCAACCATTTATTTAATATCCAACTTAAGGAAGTGTGTGTGTGTGTGTGTGTGTGTGTGTGTGTGTGTGTGTGTGTGTTGCTTGCAATTGCTTTGTCTTGGTTTGGCTGGAGAGAGATAATGGAAGTGGCTCAGGGCATAGACCCTGAATATTTCCCTTTTGG